ACTAGAACAAGCGTGGACTCCAACTCCCAGAATTCCTCCACCAGACTCAAATGTCAGCAGCTAGAAAAGATGGCTGGGGAATTCTGGGAGTTGAAGTCCGGACATCTTCAAGTTGCCAAGGTTGAGAAACACTGAACTAGAACAAGCGTGGACTCCAACTCCCAGAATTCCTCCACCAGACTCAAATGTCAGCAGCTAGAAAAGATGGCTGGGGAATTCTGGGAGTTGAAGTCCCGGACATCTTCAAGTGGCCAAGGTTGAGAAACACTGAACTAGAACAAGCGTGGACTCCAACTCCCAGAATTCCTCCACCAGACTCAAATGTCAGCAGCTAGAAAAGATGGCTGGGGAATTCTGGGAGTTGAAGTCCCGGACATCTTCAAGTGGCCAAGGTTGAGAAACACTGAACTAGAACAAGCGTGGACTCCAACTCCCAGAATTCCTCCACCAGACTCAAATGTCAGCAGCTAGAAAAGATGGCTGGGGAATTCTGGGAGTTGAAGTCCCGGACATCTTCAAGTGGCCAAGGTTGAGAAACACTGAACTAGAACAAGCGTGGACTCCAACTCCCAGAATTCCTCCACCAGACTCAAATGTCAGCAGCTAGAAAAGATGGCTGGGGGATTCTGGGAGTTGAAGTCCCGGACATCTTCAAGTGGCCAAGGTTGAGAAACACTGAACTAGAACAAGCGTGGACTCCAACTCCCAGAATTCCTCCACCAGACTCAAATGTCAGCAGCTAGAAAAGATGGCTGGGGAATCCTGGGAGTTGAAGTCCAGGATATCTTCAAGTGGCCAAGGTTGAGAAACACTGATTTAAGGTAATGAAATGACTGCAGAAGAGGGACGATCCTCCTGCCTTTTTACTACTCCGATACCAAACGAGGGGAATTGATTGAAAATACACCCCCCACCCCGAGCCAAGGTCAACCAAGGGCCGGGGAAGGGAAATAAGAATAAAAAGAGAGCCCTTTCTAAGCTTCCCCTTTACTAAGCGCGGCTATCCACTTACGGAGCTGTCCGGCGCCGGGCTCCTTACCGCCTCCGACCATGGCTATCATCCCGGGAGGAGCTCCTGAGGCGGAAGGAGTCGGGGCCAGGGCTCCGGCGCCGCCGGCGCTTTGCCGCTCGAAGTTGCCCGGGTTGGAGAAATAGTCTCGCAGGCGAGGCAGCTCCCGGCCGCTCTCCAGCAGCTCCGCGTGCAACTCCAGCGCCGTCAAGACGAACTGGTCGCGCAGCAGCTGAGCCGCCAAAGCGTCCACCGGCACCCGGGGAGGCTCCTCGGCCTGTGAAGGCGGAGGCGGCGGCAAGAGCGGCTGAAAGGGTGGCGAAGAGGAGACGGAAGAAGACACCGGGAGAGGAGCGGCCGAGGCGCCCGGGTCGCTGCTGCTGCTGCCCCCCGGCCTGCTCTCCTCAGGCTCGGACTCTTCGGAGTCGCTGAGGAAGGGGTTCACCCCCCCGCCCCCCGCCGCCGCCATCTTGGGAGGAGAAGAGGAATCTCCCCCCCCCGCCCCTCCCCAGGGAGCCGCGCGCTCTTCCGAACCCCGTTACCACAGCAGCCGGCGGCAACCCACCAATCCCCTCTCTCGCTCTCTCTCTCGCGAGAGCGCGCCCGGCCCGCCTCCTCCTCCTCCTGTCTTCCCGAGCCCGGCTTCCGCATAGGAGCTCTCGCGAGATCCTCCCCGCTGCATTTCCGGTTCCTGGAGATACCGGCAGAGCTGAGGGAATTGCTAGTTGTGGGGGTGGGGGGTGGGGGAGGGGGCGTTCGTTGAAATACGGGCGGCCTTCAACGGAGCCCGATTTTTTCCCCCCTGTGGCTAAGTGGCTTTTTGGTCCCATTTCACGACTTTGCTCGCCACAGTTGTTAGGCGGATATCGCTGCAGCAGTTGGCGAATTAGTTAACGGGGTGGTTAATCGAAACAGGTTTTGACTTTGCTTGTCAGAAGGAAGGCCCCAGTGTAGGGGATCGCGTGACGTCAGCACAGCGTCATAAATTATGAGTCAGTTGCAGTGGGTGGGTTTCAAAATTTTTTTTTAGAACCTCTTGTGTAGGTGTGGCCTGCTTTGTGGGAGTGGCTTGCCAGCCATGTGAACAAGTGGGAGTGGCTTGCCAGCCGTGTGACCGAGTGGGAGTGGCTTGCCAGCCATGTGACCGAGTGGGAGTGGCTTGCCAGCCGTGTGAACAAGTGGGAGTGGCTTGCCAGCCGTGTGACCGAGTGGGAGTGGCTTGC